TAGGCCGAATTTTGGAGCAGTTTTTTGTAGCGCGGCATTCATTCGCCTCCATCTGCTAAAAGCGTTGTGTACACGTTGTAAAAGTGCGAACGGGCGCGCGTGCGTACGTGCGAGTGCGAGTGTGTGTGTGTTTGTAAAAGTCAAATTTTAACCTTCAACGCGTTACTCTGTAAATTCATAGTACGTTCGAAACCACTTTCGATAGTCGGCGAAATTGATAGTATGGCCCCTAGCAGCACAAAATCGATTTTGTAAGTGCGGCGTTATTTGAAAAAGTATCACCTTAAAAAAATATGCGACTTTAGGTAATCACTAAAGGCTATATTTATTTTTATTCGTTAATCGGTAATGCGATTTTTTTTTTTGCCAAGTGAAAGGAATTTTTCGATTTTACTAGGGTGGCTCGTAACTTAAACGACAATAAAAGTAATGCAAAATTCACTTCATACGAGTCAAAGTTGCAATGTCTGTACGATACATACAGTCATTGATGAGTTTCCAGCTTTCAAAAAAAAAAAAACCTCGAGACATATTTTGCAATTTTTCGGGTCTTTTCTGTTATACCACCGCCCGCTTCCTCCCAAATAACAAATAGTGATAAAAATAATAGTGGCTTAAAAACGTATTATATAGTCACTACAATTAAAAATGAAACGGAGAACGTAAATTTTTTTGAAAAAAGCCAATTTCGGAACTATACAATTTTCTGTAAAAAAATGTTACTCAGAAGAATACATCCGTGTGCAAAATGATGAGCACAGTATTTTTGCGCAGAACACCTTCGACCGCAGTGCAAAAATTTAGCCCGAATCAGTCTAACTCTGGCTTCGCTAACCACTTTTTATCAAAAAAAAAAAAAAAAAAAATTCAACGCGTACAGAAAACAGCACTCAGTCCACATGCCGTCCATTGTACTGATTTCATGCCCCTTAAATAACAATAAAATACAAATTATGTATCGCGCTGACGGCATTCGTACTGCTGGAAGCCAACAAATAACAGCCAGCACCTCTGCACGTCCAGCCACTGTCATACATACCAATTTGTTCTCAAATGTTCAACTTGAATCACATTTCTTACAATCGGCTTATTAGCCATGAAAAAATCAAACCATAACTTGGTTGAAAAAACCATTGTGCTTTAGGCTCAGTGTGTGACATTGAAAAGGCACGAGTGCTCAGATCTCTGCTGCCAGCAGTTTCCGCCTCGCCCCACTCAGTGTTATACCAACATTCGTTTCTTTTTGCTCGCTATTGATTGAGAATCAGCTCCACCATACCACTGACGCATAGCTGATTATGGGTCTAATCATAGAGGTATAAATCCAGAGGATTCCCTTTGGTGACAGACCCCACGTTTTGCCCAAAGACTTGGAGGTCTTGTGTTCCACATGAGATTTCCACGATAGTTTTGTATCCGGAATTACTCCTAGATACTTCACTTCGGGAGAGGCTGAATTGTAACTCCTTCAAATGTGAGGGAAATGAGACCATCCGAACTTCCCCTTCTAGTGAAGAGCACAACACTAGTTTTGGTTGGGGGTGAGTCCAATTCCATCACACCAAGTGTCAATCATATTTAGTATTGTCTGCGCTTTCCTGTAAACAGCCGGCCGAGATGGACCCGTGATATCAAGAGTCAATAGCATATTTTATGACAACTTCATTCTCCACAGTTCTGGCAACAAACCAGTTATTCCTCGCATTCCTCTCTCTCCATGGAGAGTCTGAATCCAAGTCTGCGTTAAAGCGCCATCAGGCCTCTTGAGTGAATCCCACTTTGTGGTTTGGTCCTTCTTCAGAACTTTTACCAGCCTAGCCGTTTGTCCCAAGATTTGAATTCAGCTGCATTATTCCTTAAAAGAGGCCCTCTCAGAGCTAATCAGCCTCTTATACTCTCTTTGCGTGCAGCGATAGCGTGCCCAGTCCATCTCAAAATTAGTTTTGAGTGTCGTTTTAGAAGTTTTCTCTACTCACCCCTCAACATATGAAGCTCCCTGTTTCACCAAGGAACAAGCATACGCTGACCACATTATAAAAGCAGAGAATAACCAATATTTATATCGCTTGAAATACCAGCAAACTAATAAAATAATTAAAAAAAAATATTGTGGTAAAGAATTTGAGGTAACAATACGTACCTTAGAGTAGGGGATGAGGAGTGATGAAAAACCAGCAAAAATAAGTATGTCGTCCCCAAGGATTGTGTCCCGTAATCAGTCCTATCAGAGCTCGTACTCACTCCTCTGTTTCAGGAATTTCTGGAATTTCGCTTCAAGGAACTATTCCTGGATTATTCTTGAAGCTTGGTTATTCGTGCTACCTTTCGTCAATTCTCCAGCCGGCTACTTTAAATATGGCAAGGACTTTTGTTTGAATTAACTTTGCTTTATACTAAAGGAGAAAAGCCATCCAGCTCCAGTTCTATTTTCAGTCTCGCAGCTGTCGGTAGTCGGTATAGAAAGTTTTTTAAGGCAATCTTTAAAGGCGACGGAAAACTATTTTAGCAATGTATAGGCATTCGCCTCCTTCGTGTTCGATCTCGCAAGTTACTTGTGCGGCACGATCTACACGAGAAGATTGTTCATAAAATTGACGCTTCTTCAGTGTGATTTTGTGAATTTTCTGCATACGCTCATACTTATTGTTAAGTTTAATTTAATTTATGTACAAATTCATTCATACATACATTCATATCTTATTAATATTAATTTAGGCAGCTCAGCTGGCGCATTTACACATATTTATGTATGTATGTATGTATGTATGTATGTATGGATGTACATATGATAAGCGTATGTGTGGGCATGTTTGAATGTATGGCCACACTAAAGTGGTTAGTAGACGTGGAAGGCGCAAGTAGTTTTGAAAAGTCTGTCAGTTACATCTTACATGTAAAGAAACTTTCGAAAGCATTTTTAATTTCCGAAAATCGAGCTTTTTACTCCAACTATAGTTCCACTTTAACTGTATTGAAATTATATCTCGAAAGCGATTTGTTGATTTATTGTCTTAGGTTTTTATAGTGTTTTGCTGTTCGCCTTTTGCAGTAACTTTTTTAAATTAAAATAAAATAAAAAAAAAAATATATATATTTTTTTCCTTTTAAAACAATAAAAACAGAAAATTAAATTTAGAAAAAAGAAAAAATAATAATGAAATGAAAATAAAGCAAAAATAAATAACGATGTGGTTGTTCACACCTGTCTGGTTATCAGCTTATCTGGTTATGTGGTTATATTTTTCATTCAGTTTACAACAATACTCTACACTAGAGATGAGCCCGACGGGCCCCTGCGTAAGCTCGCGGGTACGGGCCGGAATATTTGCTGTCAGCACGAACTCGTGCGGGCCTGGGCGTTCAGTAAAATTTCATAAAAGCACGAAAGCGCACGAAAAAGCCAGTTGCTAATACTAAAAATTTAGATGAGCTTTTGTTTTTATAAAAAAATAGTATATATTTAAAACTGTTTTGATAAGAGAAAAGCAAAAAAATAAATATTTGGAAACCGGTAGAAAATATATGATACTTAGTAGTTTTGTTTACATACATATCTGTACATAAAATACCTTCCACTTTTTCTACTTCCCAGAAAATATATTATAAAAATCTTTGATGTAAAATATTGATTCGCTTAAGTAAATATACATATAGACATAAACACTTTTCACTCTTTATTTCCGAGCCGGGCCGGGCCGGGCCGGGCCCCACTAAAATTCTTAACGTGCGGGCTTGTGCGTGTTTTTGAAAGTTGCTTTTGCACTCGTGCCGGGCCGGGCCTGAAAATTTAGGCCCGTGCCCATCTCTACTCTACACCACGAATATTTTTTAACCAGATAACCTGATAACCAGGCAATTAAAAAATAAACTAAAAAATATATATTTTTTATATAACAATAAAATCTAAACATTAAATTAGAAAATGAAAAAAACATACAAAAAATTAAAATAGTAGGTATTCCAAAAAAAATTAAAATATTTTTAATAAAAAAAAAATCTAAAAATCAATTAAAACAAAATGTAATACAAAAAATGTATTTTTATTTTTAAAACAATAAAATCCAAAACGAAAATGAAATTAACAAAAGAAAAATAAATTAAAAAACGAAAAATAAGATAAAACAAGTTTCTAAAAAATATCTTTCTTTTATAAACAGTAAAATCCAAAAATTCAAAGAACGAATAAAATAAGTTCTTAAAAATTAAATTAAATAAAAAAAGAATAACGTCTAAAAATTAACAAGAGTAAATTAAGAAGGAAACTAATTAAATTTAAAGCAAAGAAAATAATAATCAAAAATTAAATTAAATTAAAGAATATATATTTTTCTTTTCAAAACAATACAATCTAAAAATTAAAAGAAAACAAGTTTGAAGTTTTTGGTGAACATTTTTGGAATATTTATAATTTTTGTAGGTACAAAGTTTGAAACGTGGATGTATGTATATGGTGTACAGTGGCGGATTTACCGTAAAGTCGGCATGGGCAGGGGCGTAGGGTGGCAAAATTTGAGTTGAGTTAGCTGCACTGATACTTTTGCCTCAAAATATTTTTCTTATCAGAACAAGGGCGGCAATTTCTGAATTGCCTAGGGGTGAGAAATATTCAAATCCGTCCCTGATGGTGTATATTGTATAACTAGCTAGACTTTTATAAAAAAAAAATATTAAACATTAAATAAATCAAAGAAATATAGCCCAAACTCGTCAAAATAAGGCGAGTGAGTCTATTATTTCTGTCACCAGTGTGCAGCTTGCAGTTTGAATTTCTGAAAGCCATTTCTGTAAATCTGCAAAATGGCCACAAAAAGCGCTTGCATTGCCACGCCTCACCGCACTATAAGAGAATATCAAAAGCAACAAGTAAGAAAGTCTAAGTTCGGGCGGAGCCGAACATTAAATACCCGGCGCAAGTATTAAATATATGTTTTTTCACCCTTCCGAAACCTTCCGCTAGATGGTAAGCCGAGGTGTATCAATTTTGAGTAAATTAGCGTCNACATTCCGTGCAGTAGTGATAAAATTTACAACATCAACAACCACAGTAGCAGCAAAGCTGCTACAGTAGCAACAGAAAATCGTGAATTAAGCAACAGAAAAGACTTCAGTCTTCAGTAAGGCGCTTCGGAGCATAAACAATAAAGTGCGCTTGTGTCGTCGTCGTCATCGTCGTAAGAGTTGCAATCGTTAAAGTCGTCGTCGTATAGCCGCAATATAGCGAGTGCAATTGATGATTTGTTGGTGCATAAAAGCACATACATTCATATATAAATAAATATATTTAAAAGTGAACATATCCATAAAAACATAGTTTTCTGCTTCAGCGGCTATGATTTTTTTTGGGCAATTTTTGATTTCAATTTTTTTTTTGCGTTTTTTTCATCTGTGACCATCGACTATCGTCAAGTTGACCCTGCTACTTTGTGCATATTAATGTTTTCTTATTACAATAACAATAAAAGCTAGAAACATACATACAAATATATGTACGTAAGTAAGTGAGATACCAAAGAAACAAAGTGCAAAGAAAAACGTTTCAAAAAATAGTTTTTTCGAAATTTTAAGAATTTGAACAACCACTACAAGTAGTGAACGCACGCGTCATGAAAGCTATAGCAAGTACAAATCGAATAAAAGAATTCGCCTACAATTATAGCGAACCCAGCACGAATATCACGCAAGCTGTTGTCATGGCGAGCGATAGCGACCCTAGTAGCAGCGGCAGCAGCAACACCCTTCCACTTGACTACAGCTCACCCGTATGCGGGCCAAGAAAAACAATGGCAAAGAATGAAGAATGTTCCAGAGCGGAGCAAAGTGCGCCAGCAACAGAAACAGCAACAGCGTCAATCGCCAAGGAGCTGGGTGCGAGCGCTGGAAGCGAGGATACAACTAAATTGATTTCAACGGCAATTAAGTTCATCAACATCAATAACAACAACAGCAACAGTTGTAGTAATAACAGCAATAGTGACAAGCAACGAACAAATAGGCGAAACACGGACGCTGGCGACAGCAACAAATCAACATCGAAATCGACAGGCACAACAACAACGAGTACGACTGTTGCTAAATCAGCAGCATCGAAGTTTATTAATTCTCGCAATAAATTGACGACAACGACAATTGTTGGGCAACAAGAAAAAAGTCGTACACAGGAACAACAACAACACAAGGATGAGGAGCAGCAGCAGCAGCAACAACAGGCTGAACAAATGTTTTTGTTGCCCACAACAAGGGACCTCAATCAAATCAATTTAAAATCATCACTGTATGTTGATCAACAACTATGCAATGGCGGTGACAACAACAACAACAACAACAACAATAGAAGCCACAATCAACGGAATGATGTACAAAGTAAGTTGAATACAAACGTCAGCAGCAACAGTAACAACAATAATAATCTCAACAATGCTAATAATAATAATAATAAGAAGAAGAAGAAGCAGCTGCAGCAGCAGCCACAACAGCTAAACGAGATGTCCAGGGTGGCGTATGAGGTACTGAATAATAATAATAGTAATAACAACAATAGCGCCAACGCCAGCAATGAAGCAAATGATAGTGAGCACAACAACAACAACAACAGGGGAAAATCGCAAGTGAATGCGAAGAAGCAGAAGAACAGCAACAACCACAATGACTTGGAGGAGCTGGAGCAGCAGAAACAGCCGCCTCGCCAGCACTCACTGATAACCGTGGCAAAGGCGGCGCCCACACAGACGACAATTGTCAACGAACTAAAAGCCACAACGAAAGTGAGAGCAGAGAAATTTGCCACAACCGTCATCACGCCGATAAGAAAAGCAGTCGCAGCAACAACAACAACAGCAACAACAATAAAAACGCCAGCAATTGAAAGAGCGAAAACGTCACAGCTGACGTTGCGCAAATCGCTCTCCACGCCAGCATCTTTTAAAATTGGCGACGCTGCTTGGAGCACGTTGAGCACAAGTAATAACAACAACGAAATTAAGCAAACAGATAGCAAAGTTAAGAATAGCAACAACCGAAAGCTGATTATAAGTTCGAGCAAAACAAAGAATGAGACTGTGACTGTGGAAGTGACGAAGCAGGAGGAGGAGAGGAAGCTGTTGGAGTTGGAGTTAATGTGCGGCGATGGCGTTAGCACTGACAGCAGCCGTGGCAAGTGTACAAAGCCAGCAATGGCTACACCGATGACAATCGCGAACTTAGTGCCACCAGCTGCAGCAAATAATACAAAAGCTAAATCGGCAAATGCTTCAATTGAAGAAGCAATAACATTCACAAAAGCTATAACAGCAACAATGAAAAGTACAGCATGTACATCAACAACAACAACAAAGGCATCGGCAACAATGGATGTCGTAATGCGTTCAAAATATGTCGCGCATGCGCCGCCGCATCAACACCAACACCATCAACACCAGCACCATCAACACCAACACCAACACCACCATCTACAGCAGCAGCAGCAGCAGCAGCAACGTCATCATCAGCAGTCAAATACGAAAATTGTAAAAGCCAAAACTAATGATAATAATCAACTCATACACGACGATGTTAGCGTCGTTGCCAGCACGACAACCGCCCCAACGCCATCGTCATCATCGCCGCGTCCAAACGTTAGCTTCGATTTGGATTTGCGCTTTGGTTGTGCGCATTACAAGCGACGCGCTATGTTTGTGGTAAGTTTGGCCTTCTTTTATGTATTTTACTTTTTTAGTTTTGTAAATTTTTTTATTTTTTTTATTTTGCGCGCCACAACTGTTGTTCTTTTTTTTTTTTTATTTATAGCTATTCACTTTTGCTGCATTTTCAAACCTGCTCCCTTCCTTTGCAAAATTAGTTAGTAAATTAGCCGCTATTCCTGAGCATAGGTTGCCATAGCATTTTTATTTAAGTTCTCAGTTGTTGTGTTTTTCGCTAGCAGAAAGTTTACCACGTTTTTTTCCATGCTAATATTCCATGTAATATTACACATACGCCCCACTGCACTTCCGGTTGAGTAACAATAAGGTTTGAGCACAATGAAATTAGTGCCAAAACCAATACCAATTACTTTTAAAGTAATTGATGAATTAAAAAGGAAAACACATTTTTATCAGGAAATCTACGAATTCGAATGCCTGCTACGAAATCGAAAAAATTGGCTATCACTGAATCCGAGTGGACTCCGAGTGCTTCGAATGCTGCACTTTGATAATTCGAAATCCAGCTGGTGCAAAGGAAAAAACAGACATTTATGTATCTGTCATTTTGCTAACGCTGTGGCAATGGCTGTGAGCAAAGCACTAGACTTCCATTTGAAAGATCCGAGTTCGAGTCCGAGTCCCCTTTTTCATTTAATTTTTTTGTTTTTTTTTTTTATAATTAATTTTTTTTTTTTAACTTTAGATGTTATTCTTTTCATAAGATTTTTTTTTTTATTTAAATAACTTTTTTTTGATATTAAAGTAACTAGGTTTCATTCGCAATAAATTGTTGTTAAACTAATGTTTACTCGCAGTGATTCCCAAAGTGGTCCAAGTGAACCCCCACGTGTCCACGGGAGACTCGTCGGGGGTCTACGTTGGCGTGAAAATAAAATGCGGGTTCACAGGTTGTTAGTGGGGGTCTACGAATATTTACCTAATTCCGATAGCAAAGAACAAAAATGTTGGCTTGGCTTTACCTATCAATGTAGGCTGATAATACACTACTCGAAAAAATTAAGTGATCAAACAAAAATCCAAATTTTTCTGTGATTTTTGACCGACTGTATTTCGGTGAAAAATGGTCGTATTGGGACTTTAAAAAAAGCTATTTGAAGTTTAAGTCTCTAATTTTCAAATTTCTGGCCTGCGGTTATCATACAATCCTAACAGATAACGAGAAAAAATAATTTTGGGATTTTTTTTTTTAGTTCACGGGCTTAAAAATACATTGTTGCAGTTAGGTCGGCATTTGGATCAGATAGCCTTTTCTTTTTATTAAAACCTCCCCGAATTTTTTTGAGTAGTGTATTTTAAACAGTGGTCGAAACAATTCCGTACTGAGGTATACAATTTCCATCTTCCTCCTCACTACAACTCAATTCAAAAGCATTTAATAGCATTTAATTTTGATTTCATCTTTTGTGAGTTAAAAAAGAAAGAACACTCTTTAACTAAATTTATCTTCAATATAACTCAGTTTTTTTCGCCTTAATATTTACCTTACTGCTTGCTCATAAAAGAACGTTCTGTCCCCTTTGCCCCTCTAGCCTTCTTCACTCAGTAGTTTTAATCAATGATAAACTAATACTAACAAGCGATTAGTAGAATCAAAATTTGGCTGACCCCAACTTCATTGGAAGCGATCAGTGGAAACGCCATTCTCACCAGGCGATTGTTGCTTTCAACTAAAAGTTGCCTGTAAACTCGCGTCTTGTAAACACCGTATAAAGCAGCAGGGAGTGCTCATTGTGCAATCATTTGATTTATGCTCTAAATTTGATGCGCTGCTTGCTTAGTGGTTTACATTTTTCTAGACTCGATCTTTCCCCTATTGTCAATTTCTTAATTCAAAGTTCGGCGTAAACAACTTTTCGGTTTGTTTGATTAAAGTTTTGTTTTTTGAAAGTGTTAGCGATAAATTAGAATTCCCTTATACTCGAAAAAAAAACGGCTCGAAAACCTCGAAACCCTCAAAACTTGAATGACGCTTTTCGCGTCTCCTAATAACTTTCGAGGCAAACTAGTCGCGAAAACACCCTCGAAAAGTGGTTCATAAATTTCAGTGTTACTTCATACAATTTATATTTTTAACTTTTTCGTGGCATTTCGAAAGTTTTGCTTTTATATTTACTTCAGCTGATACTAGATATGTATTATACAAATAAACTCTGACTGAACTGTCAAATTTCTGCAATTCGCCATTGTTTGCGAGGATGTAAAAAGGTGCATTCCCAAAACAGGCTCGAAAACTTTCGAGGTTTTCGAGTTTTCAACTCTTCGCGTTTAATGAAATCCCCGAAATATTTTTCACATAACTTTAAAATTAGGAGCAAATACTCCTCATGCAAATTCATGAAAAACTTTCAGAAAGAGCCAGCTCTTTTAATTGTACCAGTTCATTAGTTCGTTCATTAAAGTGAACTAAAAGTTTCTGTGGCAACACTCCAAAAAAAATGGAAATGTAATTTTAATACATATGGCATCTCGTTTTTCGTTGTAAGGGCATTAAGAAACAAATGATCGGAATTCGCGCTAAAAAAAAAAAACATTTTATTTCATTAAATTTCCAATGTTTTACATCGTTTAGTGCAATTTGTAAAAAGTAAATATTTGAGTTGAGTTTTTGGGATTTGTGCGTCTCTACCTACCCGAAGTTAAAATCTCATTTTCTGATAAGGGGAACTTAACAACCTATTTCGCTGGCAAAGTAACCAAAGTCGCCACAAAGCTATTCAACTAGTTTATAAAAAAAAAAAAACTAATTTCTTTCGGTATGCAACAGTTGAAGAAATCAAATTGAGCAAAAATAAAATAAAATTAATCCACTACACTTAACTTTCGCGGAAGTAAATAAGCATCTTCATGAATAATAGCGCTTTCCAACGTACATACATACATATAACAACTGCCGGCGCCACCAGTACAACCGGTTGGAACTCGATGTAACTATTCGCATTTGCTTGTGAAAAAAGCCAAAACAATTTCTGGCTATAGCGAGTTAGCAAAGTGGCTGCAATCTGGTGTACTTATGTATGTATGGTATGTACATAGTTTCTATGTATTTTGTAAATAAGTATGTAAGTAATAGGTTCAACTGATTAGCTACTACTAAATATTTAAGTGCTACATACATGCTTACTATGCGGCAAATTTTTTAGTTGTAATAAAACAAAATTATACGTATTGATTTACATATGTACATTAGGGTGCATCACTTTCCATAAAAAAACAAAAATTGTTATAATTTTTTTCATCGGAATTATAAATTTTATTAAAATTTAAAACTTCTCCCAAAATAGTAAGGAAAAATATTAAGAGCTGGATCGATGTGAAAATTCCTCCAAATACCGATTTTTTATAAATAAAATTAGTTTTAGAAATATTTTTACCAAAAAAATCACTTCAGTTGGTAGATATGCTTAAGCTCTAAAGGTCTGCATTAGGGAAGGCAGCGATTAATCATTTCATTAAATTAGTCGATTATTTTTGTCCCATTTACGATTTAATTGTATCGTAGATTTGTGTTTCATTAATCGATTATTAATTGATGAATTGTAGAATAATCGTACAAATATTTTCAAAAAATATAGATTCTGTAGCTGTTTAAAAATTTCAAACAGCCGCAAGAATTGCTCAAGTTCAGAGCATGTAAGCCCACTGTAAAGGCTACAAAACTAAGTGTGGCAACGTTAAAGGCCCTACACACTCATTGATTTATCGCCGAACCAGTTGGTCAAATACTAGAAGTTGGTTGAAAATAAGCCGTACGTAGGCAAGTTGGTCAACCTTGAGTAAATGAAAACTGTTTAGCCAAAACTTTACGGACTTTCGAAAAAATACTGATATTTAGTTGATAGATCGTTGCATGCTGAGCGCCGTTTTTTAAAAGCCGGTGCTAAAGCCACCAAGAAACGCAACCGTTTAACAACAAAAAAGCTTATCAAAACTTTTTTGCAAAAATGGTTAAATAATCATAAAAAAAATACTCGTTTTATTTCATTTAAGGCTAATTAACAAGAAAATTAGAAATTTTGTATAAAAAAATGCTTTTGTAAGTACTCACTGTAAAAAAAAATCCTTTAAAAATTCGATTATTCGATTATTTCTCAATAATTGCAATTCATTTTTTTTTGGCTTGCGATTAATAATTTGATTAACTAATCGATTACTTAAATTGTTTGCCAACCCTAGGCTGCATAAAAAGTTTAAAAATTGTATGAACGGAACCAAAACATATGTAGATATATTTTGAGATATTTTCAAATCAGCCCAGCTCACGTAAATCTTAATATTTTTTCAAACTATTTTGTTAGAAGTCTTAAAATGTAATAAATTTTATTAAACAGTGCCAATTTTTTTTTTTTGTGTGGAGAGTGATACACCCTAATATACACACATATCTACATATGCATATCAGACCGTACCACCTTACAAGCAAATAAAAAAGTTCGCCGTACATCCCCGAGCTTTAAAGTATTTTTACAAAGCGATTTAAAAAAAATGTTTGCCCGAATCTAGGGGTTGCCATTTTTATTTTTCGGTGACACCTAATACATTCGAAAGTAAATTTTTTTTTTATATTTACTTCTACTGGAATAATCNTTTGCCCGAATCTAGGGGTTGCCATTTTTATTTTTCGGTGACACCTACATTCGAAAGTAAATTTTTTTTTTATATTTACTTCTACTGGAATAATCGAAATACCTCCCTAGCAAAAGTTTAATGATTTTGGGCGGGATTTAGTTTTCTGGCATTAGGGTGGTACGTTGTCGTGACAAAAAGCTAAGTCTGGTGGATACGTACTAGAACGGAGAGTAGATACCTAAGGGGAATGAACTTTGGAACCAACAAAAATTTCCGCTCGAAGCAAGAATAACGTTATATAGTGAAATACATTAAGATCCGACTGTAAAAGCCGAAGATATGACGAAAAATGTTTAAATTAGACCTCTAAGTTCGGCCAAAAAAAAAAAAAATATATACAAAAAATT